CTGATGTTAGGGTCTGCATAGTTCACCAGTTGGAACCCTGTTACATTCGCCTCACCCTTCTTAAACTCGGTCAGGTCGATGTCCAGAAATCCCTACAGGAGCACAAGGAACATGTTAGCATGACATACTGTGATTTAAGTTACTTAAGTTAAAAACACAAGTTCTCCATAGTGAAGAAAATAAGAAGAAATCCAAGAAATCTAATTCAGCCAAATGTCAATCATTAAAGAAAAGCCATTGACTAAATTGAAAAGAGAGACCAATTAAGAGATAAAATGATATAAAATGACAAATCCCCTGCAATTGTCAAAACAAATCCAATGTAAGACCTCGACAGAAAATGGAGGCTGAATTTGCAGCAGAGGGAGTCATTTTCGCATTAATGCTCAGGTGCAGCGAGAGAGCAGGAGGCCGGGCCTGTGGAGTGCAGTCAAATGTAATACAGGTTTTAAAACTATAATAGAAAGAATGGTTGGGTCAATCACTTAATGAAAAAGGCTAATTCCTCTCATCTACTGAGGCTGTTTATCCAAGAGAGCTTGGCTGTTATCCGATGTGGTGCCGGAAAATGCAGGAGCTGTGAATAGAAATTTGGTGTAAAAAAATAAAAACTGCGGCACTTACTGAGAGTTTGCCGGAGGTCTGTTTTTGATCCCACAGGCTCTTTTTAGTAATTCAAGGCCTTTTCCCACAATCCAATCAGCTGCCCCAAAAGCAGCCCACACACTCTCTGTACCTGAGACCATACAGAATTGATTCTAACCCGCTGAATTACTGGGAAGGTTTCACTTCATGATTTCTTCATAAAGCCGTTCATTTATTTGTATAAGCTCAATACAAATGTGTAGGTACTAAAGAGTTATTTGTGTTCGGCTCAACAACACAATACGTTGATGTGTGTGTGTGTGTATGTGTGTGTGTGTTTGACTCAGTTTTGAGTGTAATAGCCCTTGTCAGGCTATAAGTGTGTTGATCTTTGATCTTTTATCCCTTAACTCGCTTTGTCCCCCAGGAGCAGTAATGTGTCCCTGTGTTCCTTGGGAACATCTGCTCCGTAGGGCAGGGAACAAGATTCACTGCGCTGCTAACATGACCTCACGCTTGTGTCTTACCTCAAATACCCTCTCTCACACATACTCAAACTCAGGGGAGTTTTTGTCCTTTTGTTGCTTGTCAGAAGCGCATGATTGTACAGTACACATGGCAGATTGTGTAACATCAGTGTTTTTTATGTAGGATATAAATCTTGACACATTTGTCACATTTGACAGTGTCGACTGGGCAATCAATCATATCACGTTCTGACATCCTCACTGACAGGCAAAAATGAAATGGCACCGCAAACAAGTCCCATAAGCCAATGTTGATCCATATCGGTTGCCCACTAATTTAAATAGAAAGAGGGCAGGGCTGTCAGCCTAAATACTTTGGTGCTAAAGACCTCAAAATATACTGTAATGATCCACCTAAAATAAAATATAAAATATAAAGGCAACTATGAGCTGCCATTCAAAAGTCTGGAGTCAGTAAGCTTTTTACTATTATTTCAATAAACATTTTTTATTCAGCAAGGTCACATTAAATTGATCAAAAGTGTTATTAAAGACTTTCACAGTATTAGAAAAAAAAATCTATTTAAAATAAATTCTGTTCTTTTGAACTTTCTATTAATAAAAAAAAATCATAAAAAATGTTTCCATGAAAATATTAAGAAGCACAACAGATTTCAACATTAATAATTATATGTTTCTTGAGCAGCAAACCAGCATATTAGAATCATTTCTGAAACACCATGTGACACTGAAGACTGCTGCAGAAAATTCAGCTTTGCCATCAGGAATAAATTACATTTTAAAATATATTAAAATAGAAAACAGTTATTTTAAATAGTAATAATTATTCACAGAAATATTACTGTTTATATCTATCTATCTATCTATCTATCTATGACCAATATAATAGTCTCCCTATTGTAACCAACCATTCCACAGGGACAGCTCAAAGTCTCCTGTAACGTCAAATCAATTCTTGGAGGGAAGCAATATCACACAGCTGGCCTCAGGGCTAAAGCATCACGCAACCTTGTTTCACAGCCTCATCACTCTCTACGGTGAGAGTGAACGAGGCAATCAGAGATATGCAGGCTGTCTGCATCACTGCACATATTATGCGGGGCTGTTACTGAGCGCACAACTGGGACGCATGTCATCACAAGCTCTCAAATCTGACACATGGCACATTCTTCCCTCAGTCAACATGACTGCAGTCTTTGGAGGCAATCAAGAGCTCATTTGCCAAACAACATAGTTTTTATACTAAATTAAAGGAGAAAATAAAGTCATGCAGTTTGCAGAAAGAAGCTTTCACTGATTTAAAAAAACAAAACGCTCATGAAGACACTTCTGAATCTCTTAGCTGGAGTAAGCAAGTAATAGTGATGTTTGCCTTAGCAACAGCAATTGAATTGGCATCTGAGTAGTTGGAGAGCACAGATAAGGTAACATAGTAAACAGTGCAGCATGTGACCTGTCTGCCTGGTTAAACACACCAGAGGACACTAGGGCCATGTCCACACGTACACGGGTATTTTTAAAAACGGAGTTTTTCCTTCCGTTTTAAAAAAAATCTCCGTTCACATGAAAATGCAAACGCATGCTATGAATCACTGTCGAGAGCATGCCAAACCAACAGGTGGCGATATAATCTCAACTGTAAAGCCATGTTGGCCAATCAGAAGCCTGAAAAAGTTTCCAGTAGGCGGAGATAACAGTGCAGGCGCCGACGTCACAAGCCAAAAACTCCGGTTTCGCTGTCTACACAACAACACTGCAACCGGAGTTTTTAAAAATCTGCACCCTGGCAGGCGTTTTCAAAAATGTTCGGTTTCAGTGAACTGGTGCTGTGTTTGCGTGTGGACGAACGGACTAACCGCGTAGAAAAAGCTGGACAAGTTTTAAATTCCAGTTGCGCAGATGGGGCGCGTTGTAACACTGCGTTACAATGTGCCCCAAGCGAGAGATGGAGGAGAAATGGGGCCAGGAGTCAATTCAGATGTCTCTGATTACAACAGCGAGCTGTTTTTGAAGCACTGCCACAGCTCTCTCATGATTGGCCCTGTCGTTCTCATTTTTATTTTTTGGCCAGCAGCATGTCTTTTGGCATTCCCTCTCATGTCGACTATCTGCTCTCATAGCAACAGTGACATGGAACTGAGAATGTTTCCTGGTGATGATGTCCTTCAGTTGTATGTGGCTGATGGAATTGATCACAGGTTTTTGATGGATTTCGTCAGTATTTGCCAGTCTTGTTCTCTCAGCTCAGCCTGATTATTCTCGATTTCAGGCGTAGGTGGTCCTCCCACTCTAGAACTACAGTCAGGGCTTTTGCGCATCTGATCCTACACAAACTCACTGTAAACCAAGTGAATGATTTAAGGAATGCAAGATTTTGGGCAAATCATAACAGTCAATGCACTGTAACAGATTTTTGTAATTTGAACAGTATTATACTGTAATATGTACAGTAAGATACTGTAAAATGTGTATACAGTATTATGTAGAGTGTGAGATTTGAGGGATGTCTCTCCTAAACATGCAGTAGGATAACCTGGACAGCCTCTGTCTGTGTTACATCATCAGGAGATTTTCCCAATACTGCAAAAAACAAAGTGGTTTTAAAGTGATTTCTGTGTGACCTGTGCTATATAAATCTCTACTCTATTGACAATAGACCTTTTTTGCACACTACACCTTAACAGTCTTTTTTTTTTTTTGGTGAATAATATTTTAGAGCTGTACACAAAAAATATTTGTTTTTACATGCAGCCCACAGGGACTCAATAGAAAGACATTTTGTTCCATTATTTTGCAGTACACTTTTTAAAAAAAAATTGCATCACATTCAAAACAAACTGCAAACACATAATCACATACTCAGAAAAAAATATATTTTGCCATGGTGCTAAAGATGGCAGCGTCATCTAGGAAACATTGATACAGGGAACGTCATAACTTTATATAATATGAACATTTAAAAAAAAACAAAAAAACAACAGGAACCACGAATAAATGTCTGGATTGCTGAAATGAAGATTGTGTTTAATTTTAAAATCATCAGTTCCCCATCTTAATCTCTCCTCTGTGATGTACCTGTATCTGGTGTCCATATCTCTTGACTGAATGAATGGAGTTGTATCTTTTCCCGCTCTGTGTCGCTGTGAATGTGGTGCGGTGAGTTGGTGATGTTACTATAGAAACTAGCCTTCACCCAAAAGGCTTGGGAAGCTTACACTGGCATCCACTCAGATACGAACCTCCATGTACATGCACACACACTTACACATGCAAACACAGTGTAAATAGGACACTGGGAGTAATTAAAATTTGGCCATTATGGAAATAGCAGGCAGTTCTTTCTTTATTGCTTTGCAAACTTTATCATTTATCATTTACAATTACATCTAACAAACTGGCCAGACCAGTTTAATTTAAAATCCTCAGCAGTGTGCCATCCAGGAGCACACCACAGCATATTAATGCTGTGATTATCATCATTTCTGTTTACATCAATTTAGCCCTCCATTCTCATATGCTGAGCGCACCTACAGACAAGGACTGCAGACATCACTTGTAGTTTTTCATATTCACAAAGCAGTTCTCCAGGCACCGTTTATATAACATCTCGTCTGTTAGTCATAGTGAGCAGCTTCTTGCGATTGGTCAGTAGTGAAAATATGCAAATCACCTGTAATATCAAGAGTTGCAGTGACATTTGAAAGCCTCATGCTGAGCATCAGTCATGAAATCTCTCATAGTGCTGAAATTAGTGGTGTGTTTTTAGCTTACCAGGTTTGCTAGGATGTAGTGGTAGCTCTTCACATTCTTCCCCAGCTCAATGATCTGAAATAGACCAACAACAGTTCTTTCTTTATTGCTTTGCAAACTTGATCATTTATCATTTACAATTACATCTAACAAACTGGCCAGACCAGTTTCATTTAAAATCCTCAGCAGTGTGCCATCCAGGAGCACACCACAGCATATTAATGCTGTGATTATCATCATTTCTGTTTACATCAATTTAGCCCTCCATTCTCATATGCTGAGCGCACCTACAGACAAGGACTGCAGACATCACTTGTAGTTTTTCATATTCACAAAGCAGTTCTCCAGGCACCGTTTATATAACATCTCGTCTGTTAGTCATAGTGAGCAGCTTCTTGCGATTGGTCAGTAGTGAAAATATGCAAATCACCTGTAATATCAAGAGTTGCAGTGACATTTGAAAGCCTCATGCTGAGCATCAGTCATGAAATCTCTCATAGTGCTGAAATTAGTGGTGTGTTTTTAGCTTACCAGGTTTGCTAGGATGTAGTGGTAGCTCTTCACATTCTTCCCCAGCTCAATGATCTGAAATAGACCAACAAATGAAGGTGAAAAATTACAGCAGTTTGTATTAATTGAGGTATACACAGCATTAGAAAGCCTTGTTAATATAAATAAATCATATAAATCACACTGTAATGTAATATTTGCTGTATTATTACACATAATTCCAAATACGTTTTTTTGTCTTTCACAGCAATCATCAATTAAATCAGTAGGTAGTTAACGTGTGTCAATGTGCATGAGTTTTTAAAAAATGACTTTTCTTCTTGACTATTGGTGAGAGTAAGGATAAGGGGGGCAAGGAAGACATGTCGAGGTTGGTAAAAAATGTATGCACTGTCTTTGGGGAAACCCATTTATACAATGATTACTGAACCACAATCAAAAAAAGAAAAAAAATTAAATAAAACCAATAATAACAAAATTAAATTATTATAATATAATATAATGATTGTCGCAAAATGTAAACTTTATTATTGTCCAGCTCTAATCTGCCTAATGTGACTAAGGCATTAAGATATTCAGATATCCAAAACATTAACATCCTGATTTTTTGTAAAGCTGCATAATTGTGTATTGTGAAACATGCTATACAATTTGTTCCTACTATACAAAGTTTTTCGTACTTCAAACAGTCTACACCAACGTAATGGTTTCAATTTAATTAAATGGTGTCAATGCATGAATGCAAGTCATTTTAGATAAAAGCATCTGCCAGGTGCATAAACAAGTAACATTTAAAAAATCATAACAACAATGGCACATTTTCTTTAAGCATACACCCACCAATCGCTATAAAATGACTACATTCCTGGGGTTTCATCTTTACATTAGTTTAGGGTGTTTCAGAATCAAGTTGTTTTCAAAGTTACAAAGAGGAGAGGAATGAAGATTTATGATGCAGGGTTTCTTTTGTGTGGCTATAGAGATAACAAAGCCTCTGCAGGCATGGAGAGCACAACAGTGATGAAAAACAATGAGTCATACGCTGACGGGGGAGGAACACATTAGCAGTGCTCTCAGTTCTGTTTGGTACACTACACTGACCGAGGGTCACAGTTTTAACCTGTGTGGATGTACACGAGCGCGTAGTGTGCAGTGTCAGTGGGTACCAAAGACTTTGACACCATCAAACTGTTATGATGGCTTCAATTAAAGAAACTCCTCTGCATGTGCTAGGGATTGTCCAGGAGTTACCGAATGCTTAGAAATAACAATGAGCGACCATGAAGGCACACTTCTGTGACCAAAATGTATGTATGTAAGTATCTCTCTCACACACTTCTCGGTAAATTGAAGTTGTGAAAACTGACAGTGATAGCTTGTGGCCATGACAGACAGTAGCATTAGTTATTAACGGTGACCCCAGTAATATTTCATCAGGCAGGCCAGCCCAGCGCAGGGAACACTACTAACAAGGACACTGCTTGATCTTCTTGTGTTTCAATGTGGGATCAACATTAAAGGCATAGTTCACCCAAAAAATAAAACTCACCTTCATGCAGTTCCACAGAAGAAATAAACAACATGTGGGCTAGTAAATGATGACAGAATTTTAATTTTGGGGTTCTATCCCTTTAATGCAGAACACAGGAATGACACTGAAGCCCTCAAAAACTTGAGATTTGTTTTGTGGCTTTTAGTCCATTTCTGTAAAAGCATTGCGCCAATTTATATGAAAGTATGTTTCAAAAACTTGTAGCAGAAGCACATCCTGGAAAGTGGACCAAAAATAATGATGACTTCATCTCTTGCTAAGGGTGTATACTCATTATTTCAATAAAAAGCACTCTAGAAATGAAACTGTCCCCTCTTTGTAATACCACATGTCACCGATTAGATGAAGCAAATCATAGTCTTCCTGGGCTGTGATAAACAAATGGCTATTGGCTTTCCGTGTTATTTTAAGTGTAAGTTTTTCATCTAATATTTATATTTAATTTGATTTCAGCTTTAATTCAATTAATAAAAAAAAAAAGTTAATAGTTTTAGTTAACAATAACAATGTTGGCTAGGGGTGGGCGATATGACCAAAATCTTATATCACGATATGACTAATTTTATATCACGATAACGATATATATCACAATATAGTTATTTTTTTCTTTTAAAAAGGTTTTTATGATATTAAAATCTTTGATACCATTGAATTTTCATAATCCTTGTCACCAATCTCAATATCAAACTAATACAAGCCTAAAAAAAACCTCAAGCTCACTGAAGATAAATAAACAGTCAGTGATGAAATAAGTATAAGAAACTAATTGCAAGCAATAGGACAAAAAACTACAATAAATAAGAAACGCTACATACATTGTGTAATTTAATTAGTCTTCAGTTAATTATATCTATCTATAGATAGATAGATAGATAGAATTAACACGTGTATTATGTATAGATTCTCTCTCTCTCTCTCTATATATAATTTTTTTATTTCTTCTTATTAAAATTACAAAAGTGATTTAGTCAAGAGCATTGAGAGATTTTCTCTCACTGTTGATTGATTAATATGAATGGCGGACAGGACGAATATTAGACAGCTTCCCCTTTAAGACCGAAGTCCGGATCCAATATAGGCTACTGTTACATATGCGTTTTCTTTTTCAGCTGTTTACTCTCTCTTAAGACCTAAATCACGGTGTTTATAATGATACTTGCAAAGACGGGGATTCTGACGCGTTTATGTAATCGTTCAAAGCCAAAGCGGCAAATAAATGCGCGCTCCTCTCGCACAGAAACAGAGACGGCGCACGCATATAGCTCTGTTGTTTGTGTTTCAACGGCTTAAAATCGGTTGTTTTAAAACTGCAGTGCTAAAAAACGCATGTCCATGCTACAGCTGTAGGCTAGTCCCTCGTTTAGAAACAAGCTCCTCGTTTTGTCCTGGCTAATCGTTCTCCACCTGATTCTGTCTCCCCTTCACACGGTGGTGGCGTGTAAAGATCGCAGTCACAGGGGCGGATCTACCGGGGTGGCACGGGGTGGAAAAAGCTGTGCCACCCCACCCCAGAATTATCAGAGAATAAAATATAAATGTAAATTCAAAACAATGGCAAAAACACGTCTTTTAATAAACTGTGCATGATGGTTGCACGTGCACGCAGCGTGCCAGTGTAGTCGGCTTCATTAACAAATGACTCTTATGAACCGGAACGTTTTGAGTCAAAACCACAAAGCGCGGCCCAGTTCACTAACGAATTGTTTTTACATTTGTTCGTGATTCAGATAATTACTGCTTTTCAGGTAACTCAGAAGTCCTCTGAGAAATCTAATGTCAAATCGTCTGTTTGATTACGTCTTAAATAGATTTTCCCGTACATTTCTGCCATATGTACATTAATTGACAGTCACCGCTGATAAGCTACCACTAAATATTGTAGAAACTTAATTTGCTGTAAAGTTGCTTTGCAATGATTTGTATGGTGAAAAGCGCTGTACAAATAAACTTGATTTGACTATTTAGCGCCCAAACTCTGGAATAACCTACCTAACATTGTTCGGGAGGCAGACACACTCTTGCAGTTTAAATCTAGATTAAAGACCCATCTCTTTAACCTGGCTTACACATAACACACTAATACGCTTCTAATATTCAAATCCGTTAAAGGATTTTTAGGCTGCATTAATTAGGTCAACCGCAACCGGGAACACTTCCCATAACACCCAATGTACTTGCTACATCGTTAGAAGAACGGCATCTACGCTAATATTAGTCTGTATCTTTCTTATTCCGAGGTCACCGTTGCCACCAGACCCAGTCTGTATCAAATTTTATTTGTAACCATTTTTTATGTTTACTGCATTTTTGCAGAACTGAGAAATGACTGCCTAGAGATATAGCTAGTCTTGTGTCAGGAGATCAAGAAACTGCTATAGTACTGTATACTGTAATGCAATTTGGCAGAATGTGCAGAGGATGCTAAATTTACTTTTTTTTACTTTTATTTTTTACTGTACTGTATTGTGGTACATGCCAAGTTCATACAATTCTTTGGTATGTGAACTTTTCTAGTGCTTTTCATTTACTGCAAGATTACAGTAGTAAAATGAAAATGATTTTTTCCCCAAAAGTTCATTGCTGAATTATACATCTGTATCTGTAATTTCATTTATGTATACCGTAATAGACATTGAGCTGCAAAAATAATTCCTGAATCCAAGTAAGAGTTTTTTGTTACAGTTACATTGATCTCAGTGTTCACTGGGCAGGAAAGTCATCTGTGTATTTGAATTGTGTGTAAGCATGTAAACACACAAAATCTTTACTTGTCACACAATTTCTGAAACCTGACACTCAAACACCAGAACCACACACCAAATCTGCAAAACCATACACTAATTCTCGGCCTTTGACTCAGTTTTCAATTTCATAAAACACTTTTTGCAAGAGATGTGAGGCATTTTGCATTTGTGTGTGCAATTCTTGGATTTGTGTGTAAAGTTTTGAAATAAAGAGGCAAAGTTTTGAAAATATGTGTAAGCAGTTGAAAAAAACCTGTAAGAAAAACTGTAATAACTAGATTGAAAAGT